TGGCAGCAGCAGTGGCAGCAGCAGCGAGGGGTTTTGCTTTTTCAAGCCTCTGGAGGTGGTCTGCTCTCCCAAGCAGTGATGCCGTGGAAAGAGGCATCCTGGGGAAGGAAGTTCCCAGGAATGCAGCGTGGACAGACCTGGGGGAGAAAGCTGTACTATCTCCTGGCCTTCACTGTGCTGCAGCTCTCCAGCACTTCAAGAGGAACCCTGCAGCTGGACCACCCACACACGCCCCACAACCACTGCCAGAAGGAAAAGCACCAATTTTGGAGGCTCATGGGTCTGGTGCATGGACCAGAGTCTTGGTTTGGTCTCCTCTTTTCATTCACAAGGCTCCATAGTATAAAGGTTACGTACTGACCAATAACCCTGGAAGGAAGCACAACCATTCTCTAGTGATGGAACCAAAGACACAAGAACTGCTTTAATTTTGATGATGGGCTCCATCTGGTCCCAGATATTTAGTTATTAGAGTCCTATATCTTAGGTAAAGGTTTTTCTTTTTGCTCCCCACCCTTAGAAAAAGGTTTGCTTAGACCTTTCAAGAGAAAGGCAAAGGATGTGGAATCAGACTCACACTTCTTTTTTAAAATGGTTGTCATAACTCGGGAACTATTGAACTCACTTCACCCAGTACAGGAAGATTATTCCTCAATTTATTTCAGTCTTACCTAGTTGGCTATACCAATAATTTTCCACAAGTTCACAGCAATTCATTTTCAAATACATGTCCTTTTCTAACTTCCAGTGAAAAGAAACTTGAGTCTTACTTGGAATTTAGTGATCCTGGAAATCCTGCAGTCTTTGGAAGGACTATGATAGAATCAGACTAAGTTTTTAAAGGGAAAAAGAAATTTATGATGTAGAAGTAAAAGTTCCCCTGACACCAGTTTCAAAGGTAGTTATTTTACGCCCAATGTTTATTATATCTTCAACCAAGATAAGATAGACTTCCATTTGCCCTTTTTTCTTTCTCTCTCTCCCCTTTTAAAAAATAAATAAATAAATAAAATCAAGGTTCCAGTTCCTGGATCCCTGTTTATGCACACAGTACCTGGTGTAAAGCAATCAGTCTCAGCCAAGATACGTGTATCACACAGAAAAGTCACAACATTTTGAAAGATTGCAATCAAGCAATGCTATATTTTAGGACAGCTTTTCAAGCTTCTCAATGAAGCTTCTAATCCTGGGAATTTGCTTGATACACAGTAGCTTGCAATCATTCAAATCACCGGGGACCCTCTCTGAACATCTCCGTGCTGCCAAACAGATGCGATTCCTTCTCCTATTAAAAATCATATTCCTACTTCTCATGCACACCTCAAGCAAAGGACTGGAAGCACTGCCAGTGCCAGGCATCCTCAAATTCCTCATGAATTTCCACGTGGGTTAAAGGTGCTACCACATCACAGCATTAAAAATATTAAAGTAGAAATAATAGTATTACAACAAACAAGACAGGATGGGGAGTGCCCCAAGAGCCAAGTGGTCAGTAACCTGAAGAGATCTACTCTTCTCCCTCTCTTGCACAAAGCTGATGGTAGCATTAGGAGAGGGTGTAGCACATGCCCCCAAAAGCACTCTAGAGCCCTCAACTCCAACTGGCAAAAACAGCATCATGGTCATGAAACATGGCTGGGAGGTCTCCCTTTCTGCCAAATACAAGCATGTGTCTGCAAGTCACACTGAAGTATCTTCTAGTGACCAAAAAGCCTTGTCTCTGAAGCTAAGTTGGTGATTTGGGCAGGAAGTTGGCTCTTTGAGTTGAAGTAACCTTTTATTTATATAATGCTTGTGAGGAGTTTCAAGTATCTCAGGACAGTTTGGCTTCCTGGTTCCAGATCAGGACCGCAGCCTGCGACTCTTGCTCCAAAAAGGAGTGACTAAGCCTTGTGCCATCACGAGCACGTCGCTACCCTGCTCACAAGAGAGGGAAAGGAGAAGGAAAACTGCTGAGCAAGTACAGCCCCAGGCTGCTCACTGCTCCCACCTCTGATAACCCCATCTCCAGGCCCCAGCTGATCACGGTCTGTAGCACCACAAAGCCCTCACAATCAGCTCAGGAGAGCAGAGAGGGCTCCCCACAAGCCCTGCACGCCCAAATCCTGCAGCACCCTACGGACTCTGCCTGCCTACCCCCATCTCCCATGCCCCTCAGCTTCCTGAAACAGCCCCTTTTCCCAACGGGAACCAAGCGGCAGCAATGCCCTTCAGACACCTGCAGATAAACACGGGAGCTGCAGGCGGAAGCTCTATTTTGCAATATGCACACGCAAAAATCTGTGACGACCGAGTCAAGGGAGGAATTGAGTGACATAAAGGCATGCAATGCCATTAGTCACCATCTGCCCAACCCTCACACCGGTGCCAGGCACCGCACAGAGGCAGCTTGGTGGGGCACAGGCAGCCAAGCCTTCCTCAGCCCGCAGCGAGGTCTCAGATAAACACTAGCTGAAGTCAAACCATCCCTGCAGGAACGAGCTCACCGCACAGAATCAGAATCACAGAATTGCCTTGACTGGAAAAGACCTACAAGAGCATCAAGTTCAATCATTAACCTAACACTGACAAGTCCCCTAAACCATGACCAAACCATGTCCCTAAGCACTATCACTATCCCTAAGCAGACATCTCA